AATATTTTTGACTTTAATGGTATTAGTCATGATATGAATCTCAAGGTATGAACGAGGAGAGATGAGAGACTTATATGCTTCCCAAATTTCTTCAAAAGGTAATGTTATACCTGACTGTTTCCAAATGAGTTCAATATCATAACGTGAGAAACCTTGAAAGATAACGAAGTCAGTTATGAGACGTTTTATGTTTAAAGCTAAAAACCTCCATGTTTGCATAAGTATTGCTACAGTTAAGTGGTAATGTCTGACTTTAGTAATGATGTTAGCTAATGGTGAGTCAGGCTTTGACACTAAACCTTTTCCGGCGAAGTCGTCTCGCAAACGAGCAGAGTGTTTGAAGGATATTTTTTGAAGGGGTATTTTGAAAGTTTTGACAGAATGTAGTTTGTAAGTCGTTTCATATCGTAAACTCCTGAGTATTGACGTAAGTGGTGTTTGTCAATAATTCTTTCCATCTCTCAGAAGTCTTTTGCATTCCTGACTGTATAAATTCAACGATGGCATAATATTTCCTCTTACGTCGAATGTAACGTTGAAGAAATTCAATGAGTTCACTGTCTGGAACTTTAACGACAGAGGCTTGAACTTTTGACATAAATGTTTTCGCTGTTGAGTCCATAGAGTCTGAAGTTGCTGATATAATGATTTGGTCATAATATGAGTCATTTCCTAAACGTTCTGTTATGAGTATATGACGAATGAGGTTAAATGTCTTACCTGAACCCATCTTTCCACAATAGAAATAAACACCATTTGAACAGAACTCATAGTCCTTACTGAAAGGAAGAATGAGAGAAGAGTTAAGTTTGTCTGTAGTTTCATTCATGTCTTCATCTACGTCATGTATTAAATGCTTCATTTTATCTCCATTAAAAATGCAAGTCAGAAATATTCAGAACATAGCACCGAGTCTAACTGACAAGAGTATAAAGATATACTATGAACACGTTATGATGAAACCTACCAAAATTCAAGAAAGTCAGTATACTTATGAATATCCAAGACACTGGGTAGAGTATGTAGGAGGTGAGAAAGCTATTGAAATCAGACAGGTTCGAAGTATTCCAGCAGGAAGAACAATATTATTGAAGAACTTTAATGTTTTGAGATATAATGATGAAACAAAGAAGCAAGATAGTTTTCCTGTTGCTGTGTATGTGAACCTAGACACAGGAGATGACATGAAAGTTTTTAACACAAAGCTTCAAACGGTAGTGAGAGAACAACTGACTGCGGAAGGGACATCCATTACCTTCAGAAGTTACCATAGCATATAATTTTGAAACAAACTCAATAGATTTTAAAGTCATCTCTGCAAAGAAGTCAGGTTTTACATTTAATGAAGCAGATGTATATTCGAATGAAAACTTCAAAGCTATTGCATGGTTAGATAATGACGATTGCTTTAAGAAAATATTTAAATTCAGTGACTCAACGATGTCAATAGATGACCTTCGTGGAATGTTACCATCGACGTTACAGTAGAAGGTTCAGCAGGATTGCTTACAAGATTGTCAATTGGTGGTATTTGGTCTCGTGAGAACATTGTTATAAAATCCAGTATAAGTGAATTTGCTGAAGAACCTATATTATGTCTTTCAAACTACATGTATTCGCCGCCGAAGCATTATAGTATAACAAACTTTGTCAGTAAGTTTAACATAAGACTTGTCGAACCTTCTTCAATGAAAGATGTTGTGCTACCCAAAGACGGAAAGGATGGACTCATTATTGAGATGATTTTAATAGCATATTAAATGAGCTTGTTCTTGAAGGTCATTCATGATGAAATAACCGTTGTAGAAGATGTTAGCAATTGTTCAGACATTTTGAAGCGTATAGATGATATAAGAAAGAAGTTAGATAGACCGCAAAGCGGTGAGGGCGAAGCCCGTGAGAACGCTTATGTTTCATTGACTTTCTCCAGTAACGAGAAATTTTATGAGATAATATTGAAGAGAGATGATTTTAATATGGTGTAAATGGTAGCTTGGGCAGCTTTAGGCGCAATGGGAACAAAAGCATTAGCATTTGGAGCAAAAGCACTTGGAGCTTATGACGCAGTAAATAAAATGAGTGGAGGAAGGGTTTCGAAGACATTAGACGCAAATAAAGGGAAGATTGGAGGCTGGGTTGCAAAGAAGTTAAGATTAAATAAAATAGGGCTCATAAATAAAGCATCCAATTTGGTTGCGACTGAGTCAGAAAATGCTTTAGGAAAGGACGATGAGTTTGCAAAACACGCAAAAGACTTTAATGACCAGATGAAAGGTGAAACAATGCATTTAAATAGAGTCGATGGAACTAAAGAAAATGTTTCTTCTCCACCAGTAGTTCTTCCGTATGGTCCCTATGGAATGTATGGAAACCCTTACGAAAGACCATTTGACCCATTGACTGGTGGAAGTAATTGGTATCATTACGGCCGAAGAAGAAAGACAGTCAAGTTGGAGACAGACGTGAAGAAAGCAACTAAAAAGAAACCAAGGAAGAGAGTTATAAAGCAATGAATTCAACAGGGTGAAAAAAGAGGTGAGATCTCACCACTTCACCTAAATATATTTTTGGGCTATGTTTTCATACGTGTGAGGGTGGTGATATCATTAATTTTTAAGTTTATTTTTTATTTTATTTTTATATAAATGACGAAAACTATTGAGATAACAAACTACAACGGTCATGAGTTCAAGAATTTGTTCTTCGTTCCTCGTGAAAATACATTCTATCAGATACGAGGGAGAAAGGGTAAAGTTAGTTTGAGCGTTTATGACTACAAGCATAATGGAAAGTTTATACAAGCATATGATACAAACGGTAAGCGTGTTTCATTAGCTTTGTCAAAACTTACTAACATTTATTTTGACAGTGACTTTGACCTATATGAAGAAGAAAGTGAGTCAGAAGATTATGAGCTGTTATATGAAGCACAGCAATGGGAGGAGTTGCAATACTTTTGTAAGTGAGAACGTTTATTTTTACAGTAGTGAAGTCGTTTGTGAAAACGTTAGTGAGGTGAAGTGGTTGGCGGCTTTGTAAATATTTAAGGTTAAGTTAGTGTTGTCGTTTGTGTTGTAAAATATACGTTAATGGTTTTGTAAAGTGTCAAATTCACATATCAAGGGTAAGGTGGAACGCAGTGCCGTCGTACCCTTGATATGTATACTAACTACAACACAGCATCACTTTTCGTAAAATGCTTTAATCCTAGTCCTTTTTCCCCTTAATTTTTCAATCTCTCCCAGGTTGAAATTTATTCCGGGAATTTTTAAAGATGCTTGGTCAACATAAAATTTCATTAAATCTTCCACAGGAGTCATAAACTCTGAACATTTGAAGCGAGCATGAACTGCATCATTCAAATTTTTAAGAAGATTTTTGTTCGAAAAGTGATTCAATACGGCGATTACATGAATACAAGGTAATCCGTATAATTCGATGTGCTTACATGTGCATGAATATTGTGAATCTGACATAATTTTTACGCAATATGTATAGCGACCAAAAGTTGCATAATATAATTATTGAATTGGATCATATAATACCGAGCTAAACATATCTGAATGTTTCAAAGTTTCATTTAGATTTTTGATAATATTATCTGATTTAAAATCACCTGTTAAAACATTTTTAACAAGATTGAATTCATGTTCAATGAGACGGATAATTAGTTCGGCGGGTTCATATGTATCCCATTTATCTTTAATTTCGGCATTAAGGGATTCAATAAGAGATGTTGTGAGTATGCCAGCGGTGTAGTCAGCGAATCCTTCAAATGGGTTAATACTATCTTGTAATGCATGAAAATTCGGTTCACTTCATTTTTGACACTTTACATATCGGATGTATTATCTAAGAATTATATTATAAAATAATAATTTTGTGTTTTATAAGTTTATTTGTATAAATTGATTCCTTCGCAAACAGCGGGAAACTTTGTCTGAATAGTTTAACATTCAGACAAAGTTTCCCGCTGTCAGAGAGGGAATGGAAGGGTAAGAGGTATATATTCATAATGTATACCTCTTACCCTTTCATTCCCTCGAGAAAGTTCAAAAACTTGGGTGCAATCAGAACTGATTGCACCCAAGTTTTTGAACTTTGTATAAGGAATTGTTGGCTATGATGTACTGATTCATGATCAGTACATCATAGCCAACAATTCCTTCGCAAACAGCGGGAAATTTGTCTGATTCCACACTAATTTTATTAATTTATCTAAACTTTTATCCTCGTCTACAATTTAATCATCAATAATTATCTCTTGTTCTATTTCACTATTATATATATATATATTTATATGATTTGATTTAAAAAAAATAAATAAATAAATTAATAAATCATTTACTCAAATATATCAAAAGTTTTATTTTTATATATAAAGATAACTACTTTTAAAAAAAATACCCTATATATTTTTGCCATGTAAACTATTTTTGCCATGTAAATATGTCACTTTTGTCAGAAGTGAAGTGAACCGAATTTTCATGCACAACAGGGTTAATACTATCTAAGTACTTAAAGAGATCCTGATTATTTTCGCGGTTTGGATATTCCTCTTGTAAACGAGTTTCTAACTTTTTAATCAAGTCAATTCGTTTTTGAGGATGGTCTGCGTAAGCGACTTCAACAATTTCGGAATAGACATTGATGTATTCCCTTTTTGTTGCAAAATGACGTAAGCAAAATTTATGATCGCAAGAAAAGCCTGATTCTCTAACAGCAGCTATAATTGCCGGACCTTGATCGGAATAAATATTCTTGAATCTGCTTGGTGGAATAAAAGATTTCAATTTAGTGAGCATATCCTTAATTGTTATCGTATTTTCACTAACAGACCATGCAAATGCAATAGGGATAAGTCTATTATTTGGTGCAGGTGTACCAATAATGAGTAAGTTTCCTTTTTTAATACAAAATAAAAACGTTCCATCAATTTGAATTATTCCGCAAAAAGCTTGTGTTTGCATGTAAAAATGAGTTATTGGAGGAATTACAATAAATGAATAAATTTGAAAGTCTTTTGAATTTTCAGGTAATTCATCACCTTTCTTAAATGTATGCAATTCAATTTCATTGTTAACTTCTTTAACTAAAATCATTTCGCAGAATCCTTGTTCGATTTTGTTTATGATTGAAAAAATTGTTGAGAAATAATTGTAAGATTGAATTCTATCCCCCTTTGTGGTTCCTTTAAGTTTATTTACTATATTATGGAACATCGTATAAGTTGCATTGGGAATATTCAATTCTTTTGCAAAAATTTCTTTGCATTGAGGAACATTATCAGAATTTGCTAATTCATAGACTTTTTTTCCTGCTTGCAACTTAAGAATTTTTGGTATATTGTTACTCGGCTTGCATTGCTTTGCTCTATGCTCGTGTTTAATTACTGGAATGAAGAAAAGTTGACCATTTTCATGAGTCTTTACAAGCTCCATGCAAAATTGGCAGTTAGGACAACGAAACTTTTTTCCTTGCTCAAAATTTAATGGATAAAAAGAATTATATGAATCTTTTGCAATAAATATAGCAGCTTCTGTAGGATCTGTAAATTTTAATTTGCTATATCTTTCCTTGAGAATTGGAATTGGGGAATTTTCAGGTATTTCCATTCTATATTTCAATTTTTTACGAGAATTCAATTCATTTTGAATTAAATCAAGCATATCAGCTCCATCTCCTTTTTCTTCATCAACAATAGCTTGGATGGATACTGATATAGTTTGATTCTCTTCCACTATTGTCGGTTCGCTTTCCGACATGAGATAAAATTGAAGGTTTAACGTACTTTTGATACTCTGAGTTAAAAAAAGATTTTCTTAACATAATTTGATTTATTGGTCCTTAAAAAATTCTGATTCAAAATTGAATTGAATCGAACGAGTTTTCCTTTTGAGTCATTTCAAATATTCATGAGAAAGAAAAAAAATTCTAGCAATTTCAAATATTTTTGATTTGATTGAATTCAAAAGTGTCACAAATATTCAATGAGAAAGAGAAAAGAGATCGAATATGTTGTTTCTGAGCGAATAGTCAAGCAATATTTCGTTAAGTACAAAGATCAGCATCCGGAAAAAAATAAATGGGTATATCAAAATGAGATTCCGCAAGAAATATTTGAAAAATATCTAGAAACGAAGAAAACAGAAAATATTGATGAAATGTTACGCTGTACTCGAATTGTTCATGTTGTTGATCAAGATAAAAAAGAATTTTATCTTGAATTTTCAAAAAAAAAATCAAATTCATCACATATTAAACAAGAATCTAGATGAAGAACATCAAAAGGCTTATATAGATTATCTTGAAAGTTTACTCAAACTTGAAATAAAAAATAAAAATTAAATTAACCCTCGTTAGGATATCGTTGCAAATAAAGATTTATTTCTCAGAAAGATCCTGATTTTCTGATAAATATTCTGTTGTAACTTCTACAAGGTTTAAGATATGAAAAACATTTTTGAATATTTCATCGCTATCAAATCTGCGGAAACATCTGGAATATAATTTCAAATATTTGTGAAGATTTGAATTCTCAATTGCATAATTAATTAAAAATTCATGTGAATTTAAAAAATCGGTAGATTAAATTTGCATGGGTATAAGAGGAAGTACACAATAATACCCCTGAACTACATACTCTGTAAATGAATAGTGAGGAGAAAGACTTCGCAGAATTTCAAGTGTTTTTATGAATTCTAAAGCCATCTCAGATGTTATATCGACTGCTTTATAAAATAAAACTATAAATTTGAGAAGATAAACAAAATCTTCGTTATTTATAATTGAATTCACGTCATTAAAAAAGTTTGAAATAATTTGATATTAGTATATCCGAACATGGAAGAGCAGTTGCATATCCTGGGTAATATTTTAATAATTTTGTAAAGAAATTTGCAATTGCATAAGTTGAATATTGATTTTCGTACTCAATAATACTAGAAAAAATTTCTTTCTTGAGTAAAACTGCGTTTTGGAAGAATTCAACGTCAAGAATATTGTTTTTAATCAAAGCAATAAATGTATCGATGATATAGAGAGAATTGTCACTGCTGCTTATGAAACGTAATATCTCATCATATTGATCGGAAAATGTTGATAAATAAAGGTATTGTATGTTATCTAAAGCTTTAAAATGAATTAATTTTAATGAAAAAATGAAAAAAATCTTGTTAATATAATGCGATAAATATTCGAATAAATTTTCCAGTAGTATCAAATCTATTTGAAAGATATTCGAAGAAGTGATATTTTGAATTGTGAATTTTAATATTGTTTCATTTTGTGTAGATTGCTCGATAATGAAATGTATCAAAAGATTCATTGAATATGAGTCAATGGAAAAGCTTAAATCCTTAGGGATATCCAAAATAAATCTTAATAAAGAAGATTCGTCTTGAAAATTAGCTTCCGAAAGTTCTATTTCAGTCGGAGCTGGAAGATTCCGATCATTTATGAATCTCGAAACGACAGAAAATTTGTATTGTTTATATTTCATTATTCGAAATGATAAACTTCAAAATCTAAAATTTATTTTTTTACAATATATTTCATCCTATTGTCAAGGCTAAATTTTTCACCGGAAGTGTATCAAAAATTGATAAGATTTACGGTGATCTAATTATGACAATTCAATGCATCTCGTGATATAACGCAGATATAAACACAACTGATATTGCATAACTAATAATTGAGTCAAATAACTAAATTATGTGTTATATTTTACATATATTTCTTCAATTTTGTAATAAATGGATGTTTAACACTAATTTTTTAAGGACTTCGACTTTAGCATCACATAAATATGTTATTTTCTATATTAAAACGTAATTTTGGTGGTCTTAGAATAGAAAAATATGCAATATTCGTGGAGATAATGAGGGTTCTTAAACATGTTCTTAAAAATAAATAAAATAATACAAATCTTTATTCAATATTTTGATATTGTTGGTCCTCTCTTTGTGAAAATACTTAACTTCAAAGAGTATTATGTTTTACCTAGTGAGGACCTTAAGTTTGCAAAAACATAATAAAAGTAAAATAAAAAAGATCGGATTTATCACAAAACTTTGAGTATTATAGGATTTAATATATTTTCTTAGTAGATTATATGATTTAGTTTCTTAAAATCTAAAGTATTTCTTGAGGAAAATATAAATTGAAATTCAAAAAGTAAAAAAAATGTAAACAAATCAAATTTTAAATGGACCAAATGTTGATTTTTCATTCGTTTTCTCATTATCGAAAAAAATTTGGAAAGCTAAGAAGTCAATAACAAGTTATATAATACAACAAAACCCACATCGGATATGTTTTCATCAAATAGTCTCCTAGATTTGTTATGAAATTAAAATATCATGATATTTTAAGGGCTTTTGATTTCAATATTAGAATTATTCAGTTATGTCGTGCTAATATCAATTGCTTTATACAATTAATCGTTTACAAGCTGCAAAAATCGAACAATAATTTGACTTTGTAAAAAAAGTGCGTCATTTTTATTCGTTATACTTACAAAATGTAAACATTACGAGAAACATTTACATTTGTAAATGTAACAAGTAAATACATCAGATTTAAATTGTAAATGTAGTTTATCTCTCTCATCTCCTTTTTAAAAGGTATTACATACATACGAACGCATGGGTCACTCAATAATTAGCGTGATAATAATTGAGGATAGACTGTAATCGTAATTTTATTTTTGGACTTATATTTCGACATTTTGAAGTCGCTTGAAAGTCTTGCAAATGATTAAATTTGGAAAATTTGACCTAAGTCTGCATTATTTTGATGACTTAAACAATTCTATAAATCTGTTTTCCTAAAAATTTAAAAAGATATAATTTCAATTTCCCTAAATTTATGTAATTCATATATCACCAAAATATTTGGACTGCATTTCGTTTGTCTGCACCTAATTAAGTCTAAATACCAATTAATTTTGGAGTTGCATTGCTTTTAATGTAAAAATGCACGTTTAGAAAAAGACGATAACGATTAAATTACAAAATCGATAACCTCTCAAATTTTGTCGGCTTCAATTCAATTTTTGATAAGTATATCAAAAACTTCATATTATATATTTATTTTAAAAACATATATAAATGGTTCACTATCTTTTGATTGAATAGTTATAAATTATTTTTTCATGATTCAATTTGTGATGATCTTTTTCTTGATATTTCCTTTATTAAATAAATGTGTGAATATAATTATTTGGGGAATTTTAATATTTTATTTAAGAAATTGTGAACATTAAAGTATGAAAAACATTCATAATAGACGATATTAAAAAAGATTTAGAATGTCTAACCAATGAATAAATTATGTAGTTTACTTTCAGAGAGCACTCATAAAACTTGAATTAATGTTCCATATTATCCTTCAACTTTATTGCATTGCTTTAGTGGTCGCTGAAATTCTAATCTTTCGCTACACTTCAACGGTTGAAATCCAAGGATTTCATGGTGAGTTCTTTGAAACAATGAATGTTTTATTTGCATGGTCAAGTGATCTTTTAAATTTAGGTCCAGCAATATATGCAATCATTAATACTCATCAAAATCGTCATATTTCTTTTTATATTGCAACAATAAATTCGAAACTTGTATCAAAATATAGAAAACACTTTTCCGCTCGTCCAATTAAGAATACAAAATTCTATATCGAAACATATAAACCCCAATATTTAACTCCTAAGATATTTCTGATTGGTTATGACACATATATTCGACTTCTTTTTCCGGACGCACATCCAGAACTTGAGAGGTTTTTACATTTAGATGGAGATGCATTGGTGGTCCAAAACATAGATGAATTATATGATTATGATCTTAAAAATATGTCAGGAATTATAGTTAATGATTCGTGTAGTCGGTGTGAAGGATTCACTAGCTATTTCAATGCAGGTATTACTTTATTCAATAGTCGCAAATATGTCAATGAAAAATTTTTGAAACAAGCCGAAGATTATTTAAAATGGCTAAACAAGAATAAACCAACGTGGTTCAATGATCAAACTGTCTTAAATAAACTATTTGAGCATTCGAAAATAACGTTTCCTCAAGAATACAATGAATATAACCTAACGAAATTTTGTAACAAAACTAAAATTGTTCATTTTTATAAAATTGAATACTGTAAACCCTATAACAAAAAATGTAAGGATAAATCATATGCAGCTCACAAACTATGGAATTGTTACTATAATTATTACAAAGAACAACCTCTTCTGTGGAGTGAAAGTCGAAACATATCTATATGTGAAGAGTTCATTCCTAAGTAATTATACCTTGACCATTTTGACTATCAGCCTTGTAGCATCTAAATTCCAAACTACTATGTTATCTCTATTATATGTGAACTTAAATATTACTAAAATTTAATTTAAAATAGTTTAAAAATTAAAAATCCCCTCACGGTTTCAATTTTTGGATTATTTCTTAAATTTTTGAGATCACTTTATATTTTCTCATAAAATTGCATGCCATGATCTAGATCAAAGTTGTGAAAATATCTTTCAGAATTAATCGAAAAGAATTTTTACATTTCAAATGATAGTCATTGGAAATCCAACAAATATATAAATACTATGTGAGGAAAATATGAT